ACATACACGCACAAAAAAAAAAAAAATGAACGACAGAAAGAAAAAAAAGAAAGATGAAGGCATAGGATCTCAAGAAAGAGTGAAAATCTCATTTGCTAGATGTTAAATTCTAGAGTGATAGAATCCTCCTATAGATTCTATTTTTTGGACAACTAGATCTGCAATTAACTAAAGCAAATACAAATGATTACCTTGTGCCATGAAAGGTACATACATGAAGCAAGAGAGGCAGGACCTTGCACTTCATCTTAGCAGCTGGTGCATATGGAGTAAAAATAGCACGGCCTTGCCATTTTTCGAACTGGTTATTGAAAAATAGCCAGCGTTTGCAAAGTCATTGAAAAATAGTCACTATTTTGCTACAATACGGACCGGTCCAACATAATATACTGGAGATTGATGCACATGTATATGAACTTCCAGCATATTATGCTGGAACTCCAACACGCAAAAAGTTCCAGCATAATATACTGGAGATTGAAGCACTTGTGTATGAACTTCCAACATATTATGCTGGACCGGTATATTATACTGAAACTCCAGCATAATATGCTGGAATATTTTTCGAATTTTGAACAGTGTTTTCGTTCAGATTTATCTTTACATGAAAAGTGACTAAATTTCGATTATTTTTGAAACTTTGACTATTTTTCAATTACCACTTATAAATCTGGCTATTTTTGAATTTCTCTACAAAACAAAAGTGACCAAATCCAAATCCTCAAATTTTCTAAATTACTCAATGGTGCATGGTTTATCACGTTGGGACCATTTTGTCACATCATTCTTCAGTCAGTTATTAATATATGCGGACAAATGAAGGCCAAAGGCGGATCTACCTGCTGGCAGGGGTGCATGTGCACACAGTCTTCAACTCGAACTATGTACAGTTAAGAATTTGCTAAAAGTACATAAGATATTTTCTGACGAAAATTCATACCAAACGTCACAAAAGAATAGTGGATGCAGTTTTACTTTGAACCTTCTAGCATAAAATTTTAGATCCGCTTATGAGGAAAGCAACCCGCGTTATTTTCCTGCCTTTAGTTGAGAGTGCTCACTATGATATAATTTACAATTGTTGGTAGAATGTCAATTAGGAAGTTCTGATGCTTTATCCACTCCGTTGGATCTATAATGAGCTATGGTGTGAGTTGCCTGCTGTAGAGGAACCAGCAAATCGTTGTCAATGCAATCATACCTGCAAAAAGTCAAATCTAAGAATGAAGCTTCAATTGGTACACACATTATCAATACAGATAGATCAGTTTGTTTCTACACAATTCAAGAAGAGATCCTTGCCTTTCCCAACTGCATTTTAGGCTTAACTACGAAGTTCACTTACCTGAAGACTTCTTTCTAATCGCTAGTTGATCCTAAGTAATTGTTGTTGTTTACTGGGTTCCGCAGGACCTACTCATAAGAATTGGGAAATTGTTGCAATTCTTCGAATTCTCCTGTCGAGAGTCACATTTAAAGCACTAGTATTTTTTTTCTGTCAGGAGGAAATTTTCGCTCCTTCCACTCTTAAAAGGTTCAAAAAAGAGATTCAATCCAACCTTTGAGGACAGGTAAAGACATGGCTTGATGGGCTTGCTTCTCATGAGATATGGTGAGGGAATCAAAAAGGGTATCAAAATCCAGGTGGTCTGTACATTTGTACGGTATATGTTTTCGGGCTATCTATGATTGAACCAGGGACTGAGTCTCGTTAAAAGACATAAAAGTGCGATTAAGAATATGGCAATGCAGTTCTACTCATACCTCAGGATACTCAAGAACTAGAGTCATCTCCCTTTGTCCTTTAGAGTCAGTCGAGTAGCTTAATCTCTCTTGTGATTCTAAATAATAACCTCCCTTTTTCAGTAACAATACCTGTTTTTTACTTTGATTACATCCATTCTTTAGATATTTCAAAATATAAATAGTCAAAGGGAAATTTGGTTGACTCGTTTACAAAAAAAATGAGTTTGGTTATAAGGGTTTTGTAAGAGTGAAAACACTATGAAACTTAAAATGTTACCGAGAGGACCTTTTTGTAGAGGTCTCTGTACCTATCATTTATCTCGAATAAATATTATCCCTTAAATAAATTCAGTTTCAACAAATTTCTACCCCAAGTAAACTACTACTTAAGCATTAATATACTTGATCCTGACTGTATCTAAACTGCATAGCGGATTATCAGACATAATGCACACTTACAACTTTTTGCAGAGGTTGTCAGTTACTGCAGAGAGAGTGATGATCTTCATTCTAGTCTCCAAAAGCTTATCTTCAGGATAGTCAGCAAATGGCTCTTCCAAGAACATTGAAAGTCTTTCAACATTTATTTCAAGTTGCTGCTGCAGGTTCTCAAAAAGGTTCTGCTTTATTTCTTTTTCTTTTGGTGTCATTTCGTTCTCAAACAGCGCCTTACCAAATATGTAAAATGCAACTGGATAGGAACAGGAGAGGACCCGTCTTGATTGAAGGAGTCTATTAAATCCATTTTCTGCCCAGCTGAAGTCCTTTGATTGCAATTCTGTCGATTCAAGTTTCAAGACTTTTACATGTAGCTTTTGTTTCATGTCTGCTTCAACCTTCAATGATCCAATATGAGCCACATGGCGCTCATAATAGTGAGTNATCAAAATGAGCCACATAGCGCTCATAATAGTGAGTAAAGCGTAAGAGATTGTTGACGGTCGTCTTTTGCTCTTGCCCTTCTTTGTAACTGCCACAAGTGTGACCTCGAATGCTAGTCCATGTGTGTTCTAAACCAGTAGCTCCACCACACAACCAACTACAAAGTATAAAAGAAAATTTTCATATATAAAAACACACACACACACACACATCACAACAAGGATAAGCAACAGAAGAGAGAAAGTACTGGTATAATTTGGCTTGGCCAACATTCTTTCAGCAAATTAACTACTACGAGCGAAAAAAATGTTGAGAAAAGGAGAAATTACTAGGGCAAACTTTTAGCTTGTTGGTTTTTCTTCTGCTCACTTGTCTTAGACATCAAATCCTGGACTGTCGATCTTAGTTGTGAACACTTTAACCCACTTATTACCCATTTATGATACGAAGTGCATGAGTTTTCTCTTCTTCTTTTCCCCCATAAATAAGGTTCATCTACCTAGGGAGGGAGTTGAATTTTGTCCAAGAAAGGATGAGTTCTCTTTCTTGGTGTATTCTAACTGTTACCCTACACTCAAAAGATTAGCTACATCTCTGGATATCCTTAGGATTTTAACTTTTACAACCTTGAAAAAATGGTCTCTTTTCTCTTTCTCTTTCTCTTCCCACTCTCCACAATTGAACTTATTCTTCCTCTTCCTTTTACTGCTTATATTATAGCCAGGACTATTGCTGCTTCTCTATGTCCTTCTGTGTCTTGGTCAAGTTTTCTTTCTTGGGCTCTGGACAGATTATTCCCATCTTATCTGTTTCGCAACTCTGTTGGCATTTCCCTCTCCCCCTTTTTTTTGGTAACAGTTTCTTGCTATAAAGTCATCAATTCCTACTCCTTGGATGTCCTTGTTAGCATCAGATGCACTTCAAGCATCATTAGACTAAGAACTGAGAGCATGGATTACTGAAATATCACTACTTGATGGAATTTCTCCAAAATTGCACCACAATAAGATGCCAGTATAAAACTTAAGAAATAGACAGTTAGCCAACGAAGGAGACCTGC